AATCCTGATCCATCCTGGCTTCCATCTTACTCTAAACCATTGCCAAAATCTACAGCTTACAACCCCTTTCCTGAGGAACTCATTGCTCCAGTCAGCCACCAAGCAACCTGCCCCTAAACTCGAGCATTGTCCCAATTCTCCTGACCTCCACCAAACTGCAACATGCCAAGACAATCTGGACCCAAAGTAATGGAATCCCATTCTTAGCCAACCTTTGCCCTGACACATTTGTCACCACTGAAACCGGACACTCCTCTTCAGCTTCATCTTAATGGGCCAATCCAACCAAAAGCGATAGTTCCACAGAAGATAGCATCTGATGGGTCTGAAGACTAACCCTTGTGGACTTCAGGTGTAAGGGCTCTCTGTCAAAGTTCCTGGCTAGATTCCCAATAACAGTTTTAGTTGAGTGTCACCCTGATCCATCCTGGTTTCCATCTTACGCTAAACCATTGCCAAAAACTACAGCTTGCAACCCATTTCCTGAGGAACTCATTGCTCCAGTCATCCACCAACCAACCTGCTCCTAAACTCGAGCATTGTCCCAATTCTCCCGACCTCCACCAAACTGCAACATGCCAAGACAATCTGGACCCAAACTAATGGAATCCTATACTTAACCAACCTTTGCCCTGACACATTCTTCACCACTGAAACTGGCAACTCCTCTTCAGCTTCATCCTAAAAGGGTCAATCCAACCAAAAGCGATATTTCCACTTCAGGTAGCATCTGATGGGTCTGAAGACTAACCCTTGTGGACTTAAGGTGTAAGGGCTGTCAAAGTTCCTGGCTAGATTCCCAATAACAGTTTTAGTTGAGTGTCACCCAACTTGGTGTTCCTATGCCCGCTGCATTTTTTCATAACATAAATACAAAGAAAAAGAGAGTTGAGCCCTTGTACAGGAAGTACACGTAAACCTAGCACAGAAAAATCACTTTTGGGGTCCCCAAAAGATATTAGAACATGCTAAGCGACTTAACTCAAAAGAACCAAAAGCTGAAACGTCAGTTCTGAATGGACCAAAATTCTCTAGGCACCATTCTCTGCCTGCTCACCACCCATACTACACCATCAGCAAGTTCTGTTCATGAAGGCCCAGCATGCATTCACCTACCTACTACACCATCAGCACGTTCTGCTCATGAAGGCCCAGCATGCATTCACCTACCTACTACACCATCAGCAAGTTCTGTTCATGAAGGCCCAGCATGCATTCACCTACCTACTACACCATCAGCACGTTCTGCTCATGAAGGCCCAGCATGCATTCACCTACCTACTACACCATCAGCACGTTCTGTTCATGAAGGCCCAGCATGCATTCACCTACCTACTACACCATCAGCACGTTCTGTTCATGAAGGCCCAGCATGCATTCACCTACCTACTACACCATCAGCACGTTCTGTTCATGAAGGCCCAGCATGCATTCACCTACCTACTACACCATCAGCACGTTCTGTTCATGAAGGCCCAGCATGCATTCACCTACCTACTACACCATCAGCACGTTCTGTTCATGAAGGCCCAGCATGCATTCACCTACCTACTACACCATCAGCACGTTCTGTTCATGAAGGCCCAGCATGCATTCACCTACCTACTACACCATCAGCACGTTCTGTTCATGAAGGCCCAGCATGCATTCACCTACCTACTACACCATCAGCACGTTCTGTTCATGAAGGCCCAGCATGCATTCACCTACCTACTACACCATCAGCACGTTCTGTTCATGAAGGCCCAGCATGCATTCACCTACCTACTACACACCATCAGCACGTTCTGTTCATGAAGGCCCAGCATGCATTCTCCTACCTACTACACATCAGCACGTTCTGTTCATGAAGGCCCAGCATGCATTCACCTACCTACTACACCATCAGCAGTTCTGTTCATGAAGGCCCAGCATGCATTCACCTACCTACTACACCATCAGCACGTTGTGTTCATGAAGGCCCAGCATGCATTCACCTACCTACTACACCATCAGCACGTTCTGTTCATGAAGGCCCAGCATGCATTCACCTACCTACTACACCATCAGCACGTTCTGTTCATGAAGGCCCAGCATGCATTCACCTACCTACTACACCATCAGCACGTTCTGTTCATGAAGGCCCAGCATGCATTCACCTACCTACTACACCATCAGCACGTTCTGTTCATGAAGGCCCAGCATGCATTCACCTACCTACTACACCATCAGCACGTTCTGCTCATGAAGGCCCCAGCATGCATTCACCTACCTACTACACCATCAGCACGTTCTGTTCATGAAGGCCCAGCATGCATTCACCTACCTACACCATCAGCACGTTCTGTTCATGAAGGCCCAGCATGCATTCACCTACCTACTACACCATCAGCACGTTCTGTTCATGAAGGCCCAGCATGCATTCACCTACCTACTACACCATCAGCACGTTCTGTTCATGAAGGCCCAGCATGCTTTCACCTACCTACACCATCAGCACATTGTGTTCATGAAGGCCCAGCATGCTTTCACCTACCTACACCATCAGCACATTGTGTTCATGAAGGCCCAGCATGCATTCACCTACCTACTACACCATCAGCACGTTCTGTTCATGAAGGCCCAGCATGCATTCTCCTACCTACTACACCATCAGCACGTTCTGTTCATGAAGGCCCAGCATGCATTCACCTACCTACTACACCATCAGTACGTTCTGTTCATGAAGGCCCAGCATGCATTTCACCTACCTACTACACCATCAGCACGTTGTGTTCATGAAGGCCCAGCATGCTTTCACCTACCAAAGTCATTGAGGAATAGAATTAATAATCTGCTATCAGTCTTCGTGAACTTTTACTCATGATTTTACTTAGCAAAAGGGCAGTAAATGTGAATTTTTCATGCTTCCAGTGTATCTGTGCAGCGTTGTACATCACCAACACTTTAAATGAACCAGCCGGGACATATAATTATGTACAAAAATAACTGACTGCTACAGAGAGACTCCTAGTCAGCCATCGAGGGACACAGCTTGGATTGACTCACACGGTAGATGCAGGATTGAAGATCTTCAGTTTAAGCCAAAATTACTACTTCTGAACTTGAAACCAAGTTGAGTTCAGTCCATGCTGAAAAATATTAGTCCTTCTCATTCTTTGGAAGAGTTAGAACCAGTTTGGGCTTTACGGAGACCTATCAGAGCTCAGCTTTCTCCACATAAAGAACATCAGGTATAGTTCTGTCCAACCTAAGGATTGACTAAAGGATTGTCCAGATTAGGATTGACTAATCCCGTATTGAGGCACAACCAATTTATTCAATGTAGAGTCTGTAGACTCAGACACCCGTAGTTCAGGACTGGTGAGACACAGCAAGGCTTACTTTAGGCCATGCCAAGTCAAAATCAGGCTCACTTTGGGTTAGCTTGATACAGACAGGACTGGGTCAGTCTAAGGAAAGACTCAAACTCGATTCAACCCATGGTGAAAAAAAAAAATGTTATGCCGTCAGACTGTTGTGGTAGGTTATTGGTCCTATGCAGGGATTCCTCTTTCAGGTGAATGATATTCTATGGCAGTATTAGTCAACTAGGGTTCTTCCAGAGAACCTGTGAAGTCCAAGGCAAGACTCAAACTCAATTCACTCCATGGTGAAAATAAAAAAAAAAAGTTTGGCCATCTCAACTAGGGTCCCTCCAGAGCACCAGATACGTCCAAAGGCAATTAACAAGGAAAACAAATCCTTACCATTGTATGGAAACGTTAGGGACAATTTGGTCTTTATGAAGACCCATCAAGGGCCTGAATGAGCTTTGTCTATTTAAAGATTAGGCCCAGTACTCTACATGCTGAGAATCAGATTAGTTCATTCGAAGACAAAGCTTCAGATCAGTATGAGAAAAAGTCCCAGTTGAGTTTAACGAGACAAGATTAAGAATGACTAATCCATGTTGAGACACAACCAGTTAATTCAACTCAGACTTGGTGAGGCATAGCAAGGATTATTCTGGTCCATGCCAAGTCAAAGTCAGGATCAGTTTGGGTGAGACCAATACAGATAGGACCAGGTCAGCCTAGAGTAAGGCTCCTCTCAATCAATCCATGGTCATGCTCAGTTTGGGTGAGGTTGATAGAGACAGAACAAGGTCTATCCAAGGCAAGGCTCAAACCCTATTCAACCCATGGAGAGAAAAAATATTAGGCCATCAGACTGTTGTGGTAGGTTCTTGGTCTTTTCCAGGGATTCCCCTTTCACTGAATGATACTCTAATGCAGTGGTCTCCAAAATATGGCCCTTTGCTTGCTTTTTGCAGCCCTTGGGGCTCTATTCCTCGTAACGATACAAGGCATTGTCCTTCCTACTTACACCAATGATAACTATTCTTTCCTCTGACACCAACAGTGAGTCATAATTCCATCCACTGACACCAACGATGAGGCATACTTTCTGCCACTGATATAATCACTAAAAAATATTCCTCCTACTGATGCCAAAAGAGATGGGGCATGATTGCTACCATTGACACCAATAATTGGGTGTTCTTCTTCCAACAGACACCAACGATGGGGCACCATTCCTCCCACTGATGCCAATGATGGGGTACTATTCCTCCCACTGATGCCAATGATGGGGCACTATTCCTCCCACTGATGCCAATGATGGAGCACCATTCCTCCCACTGATGCCAATGATGGAGCACCATTCCTCCAACTGATGCCAATGATGGAGCACCATTCCTCCAACTGATACCAATGATGGGGCACTATTCCTCCCACTGATGCCAATGATGGGGCACTATTCCTTCCACTGATGCCAATGATGGAGCACCATTCCTCCCACTGATGCCAATGATGGAGCACCATTCCTCCAACTGATACCAATGATGGGGCACCATTCCTCCCACTGACACCAATGATTGGGCACCATTCCTTCCACTTATACCAATGATGGAGCACCATTCCTCACACTGATGACAATGATGGGGCACCATTCCTCCCACTGATACCAATGATGGGACACTATTCCTCCCACTGATACCAATGATGGGGCACTATTCCTCCCACTGACACCAATGATGGGGCACTATTCCTCCCACTGATACCAATGATGGGGCACTATTCCTCCCACTGATACCAATGATGGGGCACTATTCTTCTATCTAATACAAATGATGAACACTATTCCATTCAAACACCATCCACATCATTTTTTAAAGATAAGCACAGGAGAACCTCCTAAATGCCCAGAATGCACTGAAAAGTGGTAAACTATTAACTATTTCAGACTGTTTCAGAGAAATACAAAGAGTAGAGGCAGAGACAGCAGTATGTGCTGAGATTAGCTTAGGTGTGAGTTGCTCATTAACATTTTTTTTGTTTCCAAGGGTGGGAAAGGTGTCTGGTGGAGGGAGTCATTAAGGCCACCTGGCAGGGGGTCCTCATGAGGAATTTAAGGTGTGAATGGTCATTAACATATCTTTTGTTTCCAAGGGTGGGAGAGGTCTGAGGTGTGAATGGTCACTAACATATCTTTTGTTTCCAAGGGTGGGAGAGGTCTGAGGTGTGAATGGTCACTAACATATCTTTTGTTTCCAAGGGTGGGAGAGGTCTGAGGTGTGAATGGTCACTAACATATCTTTTGTTTCCAAGGGTGGGAGAGGTCTGAGGTGTGAATGGTCATTAACATATCTTTTGTTTCCAAGGGTGGAGAGGTCTGAGGTGTGAATGGTCATTACATATCTTTTGTTTCCAAGGGTGGGAGAGGTCTGAGGTGTGAATTGGTCAGTAACATATCATTTGTTTCCAAGGGTGGGAGAGGTCTGAGGTGTGAATTGGTCAGTAACATATCATTTGTTTCCAAGGGTGGGGGAGGTCTGAGGTGTGAATTGGTCATTCCAAAGTGTGACAAGCTTGGTAGGAACATCCTGTGTTCAGTGTTTTGTCCATCTGAGTACCTTGATAATGCTTTGCATGCATTTTTCATGATGAAGAAAGGCTCTGGACAGCATCGAAAACTGGAAGAGTTAAAAAAAATTCAAACGCTTATAAAAACGCGATTTGCTGCATTTACAAGCGTTTTTCGTTTGGAACGCTGATAAAAATTGACTGCTGAACGCAGTTCAAAAAAAACGGCCTGTAAACTCAAATGACTGTACATGGACACATAGGAAAACATTAGGGTGAGTTCAGGGGCTGCTGAAAAAAAACAGCTGAACAGTTCCTAAACGTGAGTTTATCAGCTGCAGTGTACATGAGCCCTTGGGGTGATGTCCAAGACACGCTAGCGTGCCGGCACGGCAGTTTCTCATGATTTGACATGGAGACGCGCCAGATACCAGTGCACTTGAGGCTCAGAATAAGACATTGCTGTGGGCATCAGAAAAGTGGACAGTAGACCAGCAGCATCTCCCAGGAAGAATGAGGTTGCTGCCAGTTCCTCACAGGGGCCACATGGAGACACAAACCCTCAGTCTGTTAGAGCCACTCTGTTGGAACGTACACTGTGATGAGCCAGAATCACCCCGTTCTAGGACTTACAGGTCCTCTTTCATCTAGCCAATGAGCCCCTGACAGAACCCTGTTGTCCTGAAGCAGCTAAAGAGGCGCCAGAAGGCATCTGGTCCAGACCAGAGATGAATATAGTTCTTCTTCTTCTGCTCTAGACGAAAAGATTCATCCGAAGTGTCTTTCTAATAATTTAAGTGCAGGGCGGAGGATCCTGTAATGCAGCCATTTCCTCTGCCCTGGCAGAGATTTAAAACCGGAGGACAGCGAGGAGAAGATATACAGAGCGTCACTGTCTACCGGAGCTGGACGCCAAAAAGACGATTACTCCTGTCCGCTGCTCCTTAAAGGGGGACGTACTGCTCAGTCTTTCATTTTGAAGCAAAAAAAACAAAAAAACAAAAAACAAAAACCAAACAAACAAATAAACAAAAAAGAGACAAAACTACCACATAGAAAAATAAAAGCTTTACCAAGTCTCCAAGGCTATCCTAGATAACCAGACCTTCGGCTTTTTCCTCAGCCATGCATAGCTTCACGGAAATGATTTCTCTGGAAACATTTTCTACCAAGCAAAATCATACTTTGGCAGCAGACGGGCTGAGCAAGGCTGACAACACTGCTGGAGGATTCAGCCCGGCAGGGGCAGTGTTGTCAGCTAACTAGCAGAAGTCATCACTGGTTTTCTTGCAGGTTCAATGGGTTTTTCCTGTGCTTGCCGCATTTTTAGGCCTTGTTGAGGGCCGTGTCTACCCGCATGGCGATGCACAGGTATCCCGTGCATCCCTGTATAGGCAGTCCCCGGGACACAGCAACTGCTTCCAATTTCAGATTCATGCGGGTGCAGGGCTCCAAATGCAGATAGTGCGAATTCTGGGACATGCATTGTGTAGGAGGTCACAGCAACTGCTTCCAATTTCACATTCATGCGGGTGCAGGGCTCCAAATGCAGGCAGTGCAAATTCTGGGACATGCCATGTGTAGGAGGTCACAGCAACTGCTTCCAATTCCACATTCATGCGGGTGCAGGGCTCCAAATGCAGGCAGTGCGAATTCTGGGACACGCATCCTGTAGGATGTCAAATTGGAAGTAGCGGCGGTGTCCGTACAGCGGCTGCGTCCCAACTGACATCAATGGGACTGCCTGCACGGGGGATGCACAGGTACACACTGTAGTATGCCCTACCAGGCCAGATTACCAGATGAAAATACAGGAGAAAAAAAAAAGAAAACAAATGCAGCCACCACATCTAAGAATTGGTAAGCTGCAATATTACAAAGCAATTCATTGCAATGTACTGCAGACGGGCGGCCCATGAAGGCAAAAGTGATGCACTGGTTAGGGCGAGCACATGCGCCATTGCCACATGTACACTTCAGAATTCTGTCAGCAAGTCCCGGCCAATGATTCACGGCCAGGACCTGCTGATGGGCTGTGCCCAATCACAACCCAGGGCTCTATTTTGACAATCAGCACACAGCTCTGTACAGAAGCAGGGATAGGAAACAGAGAGATCCATTAGTAAACTCAGCACACAATACCAATTGTTAGGTACACATTTAACCCCTTGATTGCCCTAGATGTAACCCCTTCTAAGCCAGTGTCATTAGTACAGTGTACAGAATTATCACTGATCACTGTATTCCTGTCACTGGTGATGTCATTGTCAGCTAGTTCCCCCTCAACGTCAGTGTCAGACAGGCCACAGCACTATCGCAGCCCCATTATAGGTTACTAATCACCGGCATTAATTGTTAAAATAAATACATAAAATAATTATATATCTCTATCTTAGTTTGTTTTATTTATTTTATTTATTTCAGGTGCTTATATAGCGCCGTCCATTTACGCAGCTTTACATATATATTGTACATTCACATCAGTCCCTAACCCTCAAGGGGTGTACAATCTAAGGTCCCTAACCCTCAAGGGGCGTACAGTCTAAGGTCCCTAACCCTCAAGGGGCGTGCAATCTAAGGTCCCTAACCCTCAAGGGGCGTGCAATCTAAGGTCCCTAACCCTCAAGGGGCGTACAAGCTAAGGTCCCTAACCCTCAAGGGGCGTACAAGCTAAGGTCCCTAACCCTCAAGGGGCGTACAAGCTAAGGTCCCTAACCCTCAGGGGCGTACAATCTAAGGTCCCTAACCTCAAGGGGTGTACAATCTAAGGTCTCTAACCCTCAAGGGGCGTACAATCTAAGGTCTCTAACCCTCAAGGGGCGTACAATCTAAGGTCCCTAACCCTCAAGGGGCGTACAATCTAAGGTCCCTAACCCTCAAGGGGGGTACAATCTAAGGTCCCTAACCCTCAAGGGGGGTACAATCTAAGGTCCCTAACCCTCAAGGGGGGTACAATCTAAGGTCCCTAACCCTCAAGGGGGGTACAATCTAAGGTCCCTAACCCTCAAGGGGCGTACAGTCTAAGGTCCCTAACCCTCAAGGGGCGTACAGTCTAAGGTCCCTAACCCTCAAGGGGCGTACAGTCTAAGGTCCCTAACCCTCAAGGGGCGTACAATCTAAGGTCTCTAACCCTCAAGGGGCGTACAATCTAAGGTCCCTAACCTCAAGGGGCGTACAATCTAAGGGTCTAACCCTCAAGGGGGGTACAATCTAAGGTCCCTAACCCTCAAGGGGCGTACAATCTAAGGTCCCTAACCTCAAGGGGCGTACAATCTAAGGTCTCTAACCCTCAAGGGGTGTACAATCTAAGGTCTCTAACCCTCAAGGGGCGTACAATCTAAGGTCCCTAACCCTCAAGGGGCGTACAATCTAAGGTCCCTAACCCTCAAGGGGCGTACAATCTAAGGTCCCTAACCCTCAAGGGGCGTACAGTCTAAGGTCCCTAACCCTCAAGGGGCGTACAATCTAAGGTCCCTAACCCTCAAGGGGCGTACAATCTAAGGTCTCTAACCCTCAAGGGGCGTACAATCTAAGGTCCCTAACCCTCAAGGGGCGTACAATCTAAGGTCCCTAACCCTCAAGGGGGGTACAATGTAAGGTCCCTAACCCTCAAGGGGCGTACAGTCTAAGGTCCCTAACCCTCAAGGGGCGTACAGTCTAAGGTCCCTAACCCTCAAGGGGCGTACAGTCTAAGGTCCCTAACCCTCAAGGGGCGTACAATCTAAGGTCCCTAACCTCAAGGGGCGTACAATCTAAGGTCTCTAACCCCTCAAGGGGGGTACAATCTAAGGTCCTAACCCTCAAGGGGCGTACAATCTAAGGTCCTAACCTCAAGGGGTGTACAATCTAAGGTCTCTAACCCTCAAGGGGTGTACAATCTAAGGTCTCTAACCCTCAAGGGGCGTACAATCTAAGGTCCCTAACCCTCAAGGGGCGTACAATCTAAGGTCTCTAACCCTCAAGGGGCGTACAATCTAAGGTCCCTAACCCTCAAGGGGGTACAATCTAAGGTCGCTAACCCTCAAGGGGTGTACAAAAAAGCCTATGAAAAGGTACCAGGGGCATCTCATGGGGCCCCCTACTGACCCCGGGTCCTCAGACAGTGCCCGAGTGCCTGACAGTCCGCTCTGCACTTGATTACACCAGACATGTAGAGGAATACACTTTGCCCAAAATGGATTAGAAAATTTGATTTTTTTTATTGGATATGTTTTATGACAAAGTAAAAAAAAAAATTGATTTTTTTTTCAAAATTGTTGATGTTTTTTTTTTTCATTTATGTCACAAAAAAAAAAAAAAAAAAAACCCTCAGTGGCAATCAATTACCACCAAAAGAAAGCTCTATTTGTATGAAAAAAAGGATATAAATGTAATATGGGTACAGTGTTGCATGACCACTCAATTTCCAGTTTAAAGTAGCACAGTGCTGAATAGTGAAAAATGGCCTGGACAAGAAGCTGAAAAATATATGTTGGCTTAAAGCAGAGTTCCACCCAAAAGGAGACGTTTCGCTTTAATGATTGGTCTCCCGCTCCCCATTATGGATTGGTGGCACCTTTAGGTAGCGGGGGGTGGGGAGGTACCCGAAATTGACAGGTACCCGCTCCCACTTCCGCTGCAATCGCCTAGGCCAGGGGTAGGCAACCTGCGGCTCTCTAGCTAATGTGGGACTACATTTCCCATGAGGCATTGCAAAGATTACAAAACTGACAGTTACAGCTATGACTTGCAGAGGCATGATGGAACTTGTAGTCCTGCGGCTCTCAGGTTGCCTACCCTTGCCTAGGCGATCGGAAGTGGAAGTTGTCCTCCTACCCTTCCTCCCCGTAGTCTTGTGGGACATGTGACAGGTCCCAGAAGACTACGGGGCCATTTAGGAAACGCAGCGCTACTCACGCATGCGCAGTGGGTACCCCCGGCTGTGAAGCCCAACCTGTCACAACCAGGTGCCCACACTGAAGATGCCGGCCTCCTGGAATACAGGACGGCCGATGAAACGGGCTGCGGGGGACACACCACGGGACAGGTAAGTGGCTGTTTTTTTAAAAGTCAATAGCTACAGTTTTTGTAGCTGCAGATTTTTTTTTTCCAGAATTCCGCTTTAACCATTTTGTTTGAATTCAGCTACATGAACTTGTCTATAGAATGGCAGCCCTAGCAGCCAATCAGACTCTGTTGTGGTACACCTCTCAAGAAAAGGAACCTGCTAAGAGGAGGAGAAAGCTCCAATCAGCAGCCTGGGGGGTGTGTCCCTGACCAAGCTGTGCTGCTTCTGCACTGGAGGTCGAGGATTTGTCTGTTCCATCTGATATAGGTGTCTGGATCACAAAACTGGCTCAGCAGAATTACAAACCCTTTGGCAGGCAAAGCAGTCCCTGCACAGATCATTCAGCTCTGTGTTCATCTGCTTGATTGAACTTCCTCTTCAAATACCATCAAAAGCACAAAACGCCCCTGAGTGTGACATCACATCAGCTGCTCTCTGTGATGTCATCGCTCTGAATTCCCCTTTTGCTAAACTCGTAAATATCACATGATCGCGCGGTGAGTCATCGGCAGCAGCTGCTGTGACTGTGTGACACTCGGAGAGCTGAACCCGTGTAGAATGAGGCAGATTTTCCCTATACTAAATAAAGTTTTTTTTTTAAAAAAGTGGCCGTTAAATGTTCTCCAGCTTCAGAGGGTGCGGACTGTCTGGCCAGGGTGCAGAACACCCAATTTACGACAATCTGGACGTAGGTGAGGACTGCCAACTGGCTGATACGAAGGTTCAGCGCTAAGGACAAACTTCCCAAAACATACCAACCTAAGAGTCCTGGTACAAAGAGCACGGACACGCACCGAACCGCTCCTTGTAGGAAAACATCGATCCACCTGCCATGGAATGCAAGGCCGATCGATAATAATTCTATATAAAAGAATCTATTATTGTGTACATTAGGTTTTAGTGACTGTGCAACAATCTTCAGGAAATGAACATGGAAATGGGTGTTTTTCATGTGATGACAATAAAGTCTTTTTCTTATTATTAAGACAAGCAATACTATTTATTTCATGACTTTGTTTTACAAATAAACATTCAGGGAGGTCTATGTCTAAAGACAAAAATAAATAAAAATCACTATTGGCCATGCCCCAATATAGAGGCTGAAAACTGGGGTATTGGGGCTTTGATGAAAAAAAATTTCTCTCTCTCTCTCTCTATATATATATATATATATATATAATCTCTCTATATATTTCTCTCTCTCTCTCTATTTTATATATTATCTCTCTATATTATCTATTTCTTCTCTCTATATATTTTATTATCTATCTCTCTCTCTCTATTCTCTCTTTCTCTATATATATATATATATATATATATATATATATATATATATAATTTATTATCTCTCTCTCTATAGATATCTCTCTCTTTATATATATTATCTCTATATATTATCTCTCTCTCTCTATATATATATATATATATATATATATATATTATATTATCTCTCTCTCTCTATATATATATTATATTTATCTCTCTCTCTCTCTATATATATATATATTATCTCTCTCTCTCTATATATAATATCTCTCTCTCTCTCTATATATATATATAATATCTCTCTCTCTCTATATATATTATCTCTCTCTCTCTATATTAATCTCTCTCTCTCTTTATATATAATCTCTCTCTCTCTATATAATCTCTCTCTCTCTCTATATAATCTCTCTCTCTCTCTATATATCTCTCTCTCTCTCTCTATAATCTCTCTCTCTCTCTCTCTATAATCTCTCTCTCTCTCTCTATAATCTCTCTCTCTATATATAATCTCTCTCTCTATATTAATCTCTCTCTCTCTATATAATCTCTCTCTCTCTCTATATAATCTCTCTCTCTCTCTCTATATATAATCTCTCTCTCTCTCTCTCTCTCTATATAATCTCTCTCTCTCTCTCTCTCTATCTCTCTCTCTCTCTCTCTCTCTCTCTATATATATATATATATATATATATATATATATATATATCTCTGTGTGATAATTGGTAATAATTGACTTCAATGCAAAAAATGCCCCCCCCCCCCCCCCAATTGACTTCAGTGAAGAAGAAACATCCCCCCATTGACTTCAGTGCAAAAAACACCCCCTATTAACATCAAGGTAAAGACAGTGCTACAGTATTTAAGTTCCAATGTATACATTTTATTTTATTTTCTGTCCTATTTTTGTGTGTTACGTTCAATAAGTTATATTTTTTAAATTCATATTAAAATTCAGAATATGAATTAAAGAATTGAATACAATTACACACACACTATAAATTTAAAACAGTCTTTCATTTTTCATCCTGAATATTCGGTTTCTGCTCAGAATTTTCATTTCGGTGCACCACTAGTGCGATTGTACCAGTATTCCCACTTCAGTTGCAACTAAAAAAAATCCTTTGTGAATGTGCTTTAATATGGGCAAACTTTTATTTTCTGCAAAGTTGTCTTCCGCAGAGCGACGCAAACATTCCCCAATACGCCATGAGCATTCAATCCTAAGAGAAAACAGCCTAAAGCAATGACACAAGAACATTTGACCAGAACAAATCGCCGAAAACAATGGCTTAATGGTATTAAAATAAACTAAAACTATAGCCAACCAGAAGGGAAAATATCCTAAATCTACAGCCCAAGAGGATTCAATCAGAAAAGAAAATTGCCGAATCACGCCAAGAAGATTCAACCTAGCCTAAAACTACAACGCAAGAGGATTCAACCAGAAGAGAAAAATATAGCCTAAACACAGCCCAAGAGGATTCAACCAGAAGAGAAAATAGCCTAAAACTATTAGAAGAGAAAATGGCCTAAAATAAACAAAGAAAAAAATGTTTTTATGCGATCATTGACTTTTTTTTTTTTTTTACCAAAAGAGAGAAAACCTTAAAAAGGAGTATGTAAGCCCACTATTTCCCATTCCTGGTCTGTGTCTGCTGTTCCATGTACTTGTATGAAGAAGGCTCCGGTTCGCTTTGCACTGCTTCCTTTGTGTGAAATCCCCGGCGTTCCTGTCAGACCCTCTGATTTCCTATCAAAACTGACCACACTAAGCATGAGAGCACAGCACAATCAATCCTCTAGCTGTGCTGGGTACTCGGCCTGCTCTCCTCAAAATGATCAGACTTGTAATGACACATTCCTACCACCCTGCACAGCCATTCACTGGGAAGATTAGTGTCCTGCTGTTTCTCCTCCCCCCCAGCTCTTATGCAGCTTAGAACAGAGAGAATGTGATTTATAATGTTTTTTATGTCTATAAACAAACGTTTTTTCCTTTCATTTCTATGTTGAACTGAATGGGTTGTTGTACAAGGGGAGGATTTACAGATACTTTAGCTGTCATGTGGGGCAGAGGGAGCCTGCACATGTCAGGGAACAGGCAGGGTAACCATCCATATGCACTGGTGGCTCACCTTCCGGGTACGGACAACACTTAAGGGGGGGGGTATTGTCCGTTATAACAGCATCTGAATCGCATCGTGGGTCCTGCATTGGAGATCAGGTTAGAAGGAAAGGAAGAGTAGAACAACCAAGAAATATCTGAAGTATTGAGGCAGAACAGGAAGATATATATATATACACACACACATTTATTTAATAAAAAAAAAAAAAAACACTCCAGTATATATCCCATAGATTTTAGACACTATAACTTTCATGCAAACTAATCAATATACACTTATTTCCCATCTTACACTTCTGAGAAGACAAATAACATTGGGGGAAACTATTCCTCCCACTGACACCAATGCCGGGGCACCATTCCTCCCACTGACACCAATGACGGGGCACCATTCCTCCCACTGACACCAATGACGGGGCACCATTCCTCCCACTGACACCAATGACGGGGCACCATTCCTCCCACTGACACCAATGACGGGGCACCATTCCTCCCACTGACACCACTGATGGGACACTATTCCTCCCCACTGATGGGACACTATTCCTCCCACTGATGGGACACTATTCCTCCCACTGATGGGACACTATTCTCCCACTGACACCAATGATGGGACACTATTCCTCCCCTGACACAATGATGGGACACTATTCCTCCCACTGACACCAATGATGGGGCACTATTCCTCCCACTGACACCAATGATGGGACACTATTCCTCCCACTGATACCAATGATGGGACACTATTCCTCCCACTGATACCAATGATGGGGCACTATTCCTCCCACTGACACCAAGGAAGGGGCACTATTCCTCCCACTGACACCAAGGAAGGGGCACTATTCCTCCCACTGACACCAAGGAAGGGGCACTATTCCTCCCACTGACACCAAGGAAGGGGCACTATTCCTCCCACTGATACCAATGATGGGGCACTATTCCTCCCACTGACACCAAGGAAGGGGCACTATTCCTCCCACTGACACCAAGGAAGGGGCACTATTCCTCCCACTGACACCAAGGAAGGGGCACTATTCCTCCCACTGACACCAAGGAAGGGGCACTATTCCTCCCACTGACACCAAGGAAGGGGCACTATTCCTCCCACTGACACCAAGGAAGGGGCACTATTCCTCCCACTGACACCAAGGAAGGGGCACTATTCCTCCCACTGACACCAAGGAAGGGGCACTATTCCTCCCGCTCTTTCTAGGTACAGTCCAGCCTTCCTAAAGTCTGAGAGGCAGTAAACTGGCCTTGTGTTTAGAATCCCGGTACTACACAAACCATCTCTGGACAATTTTCTTTATAGCTACCTATGTAATATATGGACAAACTTAAACAACCAATTCAAATGGCATGAAGTACTGTCACCAGAACTACTGTCCCCACTGGAAGATTGGTGATAACCCAAAATATGGAATTTTCTTTCAGTCTCTGGGGTGAATCCCCCCTAGCAGCAATAAAAAATGGACAGGGGTTCTAATCCCTCGCCACTCTTTTCAAAAGTAAAAAAAAAAAAAAAAAACAAACACATTTCCTTTAGTTATCGTCATATCTGCACTTGTTCATCCCATGAAATCCTATCCAATGTACACTGAACGCCCCCCTCTGCTCATTTTCTTCGCTCTTTTGAAGCCGGCCATCATCTGGTTTCGGCCTCTCCGGCACAGAAGGGGTTCTGGCAAAGCAGCTCGAAAGATGTTATTATGCCGCCTAATGGGACTGTGTCCATTCACGCTTCATGTTGCAGGGTGAATCACCGAGGGCCTTGCTTTGAACTCTGCTGAGCTCCCAGCTTCCTGCTCCCTTCTCATCCTATACAGTAATTACGGACTTCAAAGGAGAGAACAAACCTGTCGGGTCATGTACAATCCGAGGACTGCTGGGACCGTGTCTGATACAGTCATGCACCTGAAAAACAAAACGCGCTCTGGCTGCGCCGCTTCTGGCACGCTGCAACGACCAAGGGCAGCATACAATCAGAAAGGTCTTCACATTCACACAAAAAAAAAAAAAAAAAAAAACTTGTTTGTTACATTTGCAAACCGAGTTAGAAAAACGAATTGCATTTTGTTCATTCATATCGCTTTCAGAAAGGGGCCATTTCCGCAAGAAACTGCGCTTTTTTTCATAAATTTCCACGCGTTTGACAGGCGCCTACTAGTACTCGCGGGACATTTGTTTTCGAAGGCCGTTATTACACCTGCTTTGCTCTGTGAAGAGCGACCTGCATTCAGTTTGCTCTTCAGAGAGCATTTTAACAGGCGGTAAGGCAGGCATTGTGTCGCCTCTTAATTGCCCGTTTTAACCCCTTGGATGCTGAAATACCACAATCCGGGGCGGACTGACCATTTCTGCACTGGCTGAGTGCCCAGGGTCAGGGGGCCCCATTAGATGCCCCTGCTACCTCTCATAGGCTTTTTTGGGTGTGGTTTGAGTGTGGGCAAGGACACAGGGGCCCCATGATTTCCTATTCCCTGGGTATCCGATGAGTTGTCAGTCCGCCCCTGACCACACTGCAACTGCATGCATCGTGCACAACTGAGGGCCCCCATTCGCTTCGTTCGGCGAGTGGTAGTGTCCACCAAGTACATCAGGGGGTAGAATTCAAAGCAAAGCATTGTAGCCGTGGCATGTGTACACTAGCATCCGTTTCCCAGCAAAAGGAGGAGTTGACGGGCGTTAAAAAAGGGGCGAAGCCGACGGGTGTTTCTGGCACAGGGAAAATGGCGGGTCACCAAAAACTTACTTTTGTTCCATTTGCATTTAAGCGTGTTGCACTTATATGCGTTTATGTGCCAAGTAATGCAGGCCAAAGACGGGCCATTTATCAGCCGACTTGTCCGATAAACGAAAAATCGGCTGGTGCCGTTACTACCACCAATGTCCACGAAAAATGTTTTTCGGGGATTTTCCAGCATGACTGATAAAAATAAACGAGAAGATCCACAAAAAACGGCCGACGGGCTGGCCCCACTAACGGCGTGAATATCGGCCGATTTTTCGTGCGGACGAAAATTCGGCTGATAAATGACCCATCTATGGCCTGCATAAAAACGCATTTTGCTGTATTTTTTTTTTTTTTTTCAACCGCACCACAACGCAATGGTGTGAACTCATTGGCCAACATTTATATTGGACCGTCTATGCAAAGAGAATGCATTAAAAAAAAAAAAAAAAAATGCATCCCACTGCATCTGGTGTGAATGGGTCCTAACCCCCGGGTTCACATCTATGCGGCCGTGCGGGCCGCGTTTTGCACGGTCATGAGAGCCCATTCATTTGAAGGACCTCCCGTGCCACACAGGGAAGAAGTCCCGGCACTTCTTTTGAAAACACAGCCGAGGTTCCCATTATGGTTGCGTTTTCCAGTGCGGGCGGAGTGCCATTATAACTAATGGCACCCACCCACGGGTCAGCATTCCTGTGCGGGTGGTGCGGCTGCACGCATTTTCATGCGAATCCACCCGCACAGATCTGAACCAGGGGTGAAGGCCGGTTCACACCACATGCATTCCAGTGTGGTTTTTCTTGCATCAAAAAATGCATGGATACTAGGTTATATGGGTTCCAATGGCATCATTTGCGCCATTGCGGTCAGATCCAGTGTGTTCCAGTAGGAGAAAAAAAAAAAAAACACCCACAAAAACCTAGAACATGCATTGAAACGTGATAAAATGGAAACAATGGTAAGCACATATACTGATTGAAAGGAAAGGAAAAAAAAAAAAAGGGAAGGAAAGGAAAAAAAAAAAAAGGGAAGGAAAGGAAAAAAAAAAAAAGGGAAGGAAAGAAAAAAAAAAAAAAAGGGAAGGAAAGGAAAAAAAAAAAAAAGGGAAGGAAAGGAAAAAAAAAAAAAGGGAAGGAAAGGAAAAAAAAAAAAAAAGGAAAGGAAAAAAAAAAGGGAAGGAAAAAAAAAAAAAGGGAAGGAAAGGAAAAAAAAAAAAAAAAGGGAAGGAAAGGAAAAAAAAAAAGGGAAGGAAAGGAAAAAAAAAAAGGGAAGGAAAGGAAAAAAAAAAGGGAAGGAAAGGAAAAAAGGGAAGGAAAGGAAAAAAGGGAAGGAAAGGAAAAAAGGGAAGGAAAGGAAAAAAGGAAGGAAAGGAAGGACATCACACACACACACACACACACACACACACACACACACCACGATGCATCAAAAATTACTTGAAGAAACCCAACTGTGAATTGCACCGACAAGGCTGTGCAGTTCACATCCATTTAGAGTGTATGACCAGCCAGGTTATGGTGGGGTGGGCTGCAAGGAACCAAAAATCCCCCCCCAATGTAAGTGCGCAACCCAATATGACCAAAAACCCCAACAAAAGAAAAGGAATTGCAAAGGTCAAATATGGTCTAAAAAAAAAATGTGCATGTAGAAATCACATCCGTACTGCGTTTCTGTGGTGTGATCCAGGCCTTAAGCTGGCTAGACCACCAGAATTAGGATGATAAGCTACATTATAAACCGACAGCTTCCAATAAAGTTTATTGAAAGATGTAAAAGAAACAAAAAAAATCGAGAGCAGGGGAAAAAAAAAAAAAAAAAAAAAACAGCCATCACGTCAACCGTGATCAAATTTTAATCTCATCTCCGTGAAGTCAAATCTAAAACTACTGAAAATTTCAAATAAAATGTAACAAAGTATTTTTTTCTTTTTTTGGTTTGCAGTTTTAAGAAAAAAAAATTGTGTTTTAAATGCGATTGCACTCTTTAGAACGCATCAAAATAACATGAAGAAACCCTTCCCACCTAGATGCAGGTAGCGGGGTAGATGATAGGGTCACATGTTCCAGACGCTATCATACTGGCGCATTTTCAGCTAAAAGCTGGATCGTTTGTTTTCCCAACGAAGAAAATGAATTTCTTTGCAACATCGAAATGGCTCTAAACAGGCGACTGGCTGCGCCTTCCCAGGTAAAAACGCTTTTTAGTTACTGCTTGCAATTTGTACTTTTACAAATCGATTCACAACAGTACAACCCAATGGTGATGGTAAGGTGGACTGAAGGAAAAGAAAAAAAAGCTTCCTACGTGAGCGGAGCTTCCAACAACTGGGAAACTCTGCCAGCCACTCTAATGCAGGCCATACATGGTTGGCATTCCGAACGATTTTTGTATGAAAAAAATCTGATGATTTTCGCTCTGTTACTGGGGCAATGGCATCGGCCAATCTTTGTGGTTCCTCCCCATTTCGTTTATTGGGCATGCTGGAAAATTTGTGAAAAAGAGGACTGATTTTCGAAATCATTGGTGGCAACAATGGATTACAGAACAAACAACATTTCGATTTTCAGGACGAACCATGTATGGCCTGCATAAATCACACCGATAAAACATCAAAACACAGGGAATATGGAAAAATTAATTTTAATTTTTTTAAAAATCACCCATATTGTTACTCTGATGCTGGTCATCAACACCATACAGAAAAAACTAATGAGCCTACAGTCCCTTAGCTACATGCAAGCGTTTAGGTCCATTTTCCACCCTGAGTTATCTGAAGCGTGTTTCCCAAGGTGCTTCAACATTCAACATCAGGATTCCTATTCTAGTCAATGGTGCCTGTTCACACCTGAAGTATCATTTTGTGCGGACATAAAAAAAAAAAAAAAAACCCTCAAAGAAAAGCCAGAGAAACCACCAAAGACACCTGGTTCAAGTGTGAAAGGGGCCTACAAGATCTTCCTTGGGGCCTAGTCATGTGCTTTTTGGTTGCCCAACAAGCACTTTTTTTTTCACGTCTTGCCTATCCTTGCCAAGTAAGTAGCTTTCCATTGGCTGAAAGAGCAACCAGGGTTCCTCCAGAGGTTGCCAGGGATTCCTTGAACAGTGGCTGATTGATGGTTCCTGCAGAGTTCCAGGGCC